GATCCAAGCTCAATTTGTGAGTTGTTACCTCCGGTGCAATCCCTGTCATGTCTAGATGGGACCAGGCAAAATTATCGGCATTATCTTTAAGAAAATCAATAAGTTTTTTCCTGAGCTCGGGGGTTAATCCCGTACCTAAGTATACCTTTCGATCCGGTAGGTGCTCGATCAATATAATCTGCTCCAACTCCTCGATCATCGATTTGGTGGTGTCAGTGTCATCGGGTGCTATGAAAGATCTCGGGACGTTGTAATTATCCTCATCATCCGCTCCGTGCTCCTTCTAATTTTCCAGCTCGATTGAGGCTGGTATCATTGATTGCTATTTTGTTTATTTTTCTTTGGCCGGTTCCCTCCCTCGCAGACGGCTATTCTCCGTAGACTGTTTTGACTCCTCCTAGAGTGGGAAATTTCAGTGCCTGATGTAAGGTCGAAGGACCACTCTCATGTTGTGAACCTGTGGCCTTCCGAACAAGCTTGTACCTCATATCCCCTTCGATCATGTAGAACTTTGTTTCTTGAGTAGTCCCGGCAGTGTTTACCAATAAAGTTATCTCACCCTTCGATCACCCAGTTATTCTACGACCCTCGATCTGATGATGTTGGCCGAGCTACCTGGATCAATCAACACACGTTTAACCCGAGATTTATTGATAAGTATGGATATTACCAGTGCATCATTGTGAGGCTGGACGATGCCCTCGGCGTCTTCGTCGCTGAATGAGATGGCTCCTTCCGGGACGTAATCCCAGGTGAGTTTTTCTCTCGTGAGAGAAACTTTGGTGCATTTTATCATTGCCCCTTGGGAGACATCAACACCACCAATGATCATGTTGATTACGTGTTGGGGCTCCTCTAGTTCGACCTGTTTGTTGGCGTCCCTATTTATGAAGTGGTTTTTGGCTCGCTCGCTTAGGAATTCTCGAAGGTACCCATAGTTGAACAATCGAGCTACTTCTTATCTTAGCTGTCTACAATCTTTGATCATATGACCGTGAGTACCGTGGTACTTACACACCAAGCTAGGATCTCTCTGGGCAGGGTCGGACTGCAGTGGTCTTGGCCACTTAGTCTTTTTGATGCGTCCTATGGCCGATACTATACTTGTAATGTCGATGTTGAAATTATACTCTGATAATATAGGTGCCTCCCTACTCTCGAGCGGCCTGTCAAACCCGTCTTGCTCATCAGGCCTCGGTTGCTGGGTCCTCGATCATTTTTCTTGTCGTTCCTTGTCGGGTGGCGCCCGAATCCGTTTCCTCTCCGATCAACGTCGTATAGTTGGTATCAATATCGGACCGGCCTTAGCTCTTGATCGATGATTCTATTAGACCTATCATTGGTTCTGATGGGGTAAACAGACCCCGAAGGGACCCCGAGTTGGTCGTCTTCGACTCTGATCTTCGACTGGTGCCTATTGTAGACGTCGACCCAAGTGACTACCGGGTACTCCACTAAGTTTTGCTTTAGCTGTTGAGAAGCCACGGAACTTCGGGGGTTGAGCCCTTGAGTAAATGCCTGAACGGCCCAATCATCCGCGACCGATGGCAGATCCATCCGTTCTATCTGGAACCTCGACACGAATTCCATGAGCATCTCGTTATCCCTCTGCTTGACCTTGAAAAGGTCTGGCTTCCTTGTCTCGACCTTGATGGAGTCGGCGTATGCCTTTATGAAAGCATTTGAAAGCATAGCAAATGAGTCAATAGAATTCTGAGGCAAGATGTGATACCATATCATTGCTCCTATGCACAAAGTTTCCCCAAATGTTTTCAGTAACACCAACTCAATTTAGTCGTCTTCTAAGTCATTCCCTTTGATTGCGCATGTATAGGAGGTTACATGCTCATTTAGATCCGTGGTTCCATTATACTGGGGAATGTCGAGCATTCGAAACCTCTTCGGGATCGGCTTCGGTGCTGTGCTCGGGGGGAAAGGATTCTGAATGAACTTTTTGGAATCTGTCCCCTTCAATATCAACGGCACTCCCGAGATCTGATCGATCCTGGAGTTATATGTTTCCACTTTCTTCTTATTGTAGTCAATCTTTTTCTCGCCAGACTTCACCTGTTTTATCAATGCTTCGAGTATCTTCATCACCTCGGAAGTTTCCCGGGACCGAACTCATCTAGTTCCACTGCGACTTGTTCATCCCTTCGAGAATTTTCCCGGGATTGCTCAGGCTCAACCCTATTAGGGGCATGGCTCTAGTTCTGTAATTGTGCTATCGCCGCTTGCTAAGTCTGCAACATTTCAAAAATCAATCGGAGCCTCACCTCATCACCTTTACCTTCAGGCGCCTCCCGAACCGCTGGTCGGGGTCCTCCGAGAACGCTGTTTTCGGGATCAGTCGGTAGATTGATATTGATGGCAACCTGTGAGTTAGCATTGACCGGGTCGGTGGCTAGGACACTATTGGGATCAACAAGGGGCACATCATTGCTAGGTATCACGTTATTGTTCTCGCCGTAATGGCCTGACTCAGCGTCAACGTTTAAGTGAGAAAACTGAGCATTTGACATCCTTAGGCGAACGTGGAATCAAAACTTCAAAGAACACGCGTAAATCATGGTGTATTATGGAGATTCGTATCAAATCACCACTATTATCCTTAGTCCCATGGTGGGCGCCAAACTGTTTACCCTAAAAAATAAGTAACAATTAAATTTGTACGCGGTTAAAAGATATGTGATTTAATTTAATACGAATGATCTAAGAGTAGCAAGTAATAAATTTAAAAAAAAAAATGAACGATCAAATCAATTGTAATGTGGTGATCAAGCCTGATCCTAAGTTGAATATTGAAGTTCGACCTCGATCGGACCCTCGATATAAGCTCGGTTATGATTAAAGAAGAGATAACTTAAGAACATTTTGAATAGTAGCTAGAAGACAAAAATGAACTTTTATATTGCTTTGGTTCGCATGTCAACGGTATGTCAAAATAAAAGAAACTTTTCCATTTATATAGTAGGAGAGTTTTAGTCCTTGTACAAGTCTAAATAAGGTAAAAATCTTCTTTTTTCGGTAAATGCCGATCCGCAGTTGATATCGGGCGGGATTCACGCCGTAATATCCGGTTGAGGGCGAATATTACGGCTCTCCACTTGTCATGCATAATTGTTCCCCTTTTTCCGTGGTTTAGAAACTTTACTTGATCTAGGTCTATTATTTTGTCGTGCCCGATCCCAGATATATCGTTCACTCCTCCCGAGTCCCGATACATAATCGTTCCCCTTTTCCCGTGGTTTAGAAACTTTACTTGATCTAGGTCCATTATTTTGCCGTGCCCGATCCTAAATACATCGTTCACTCCTCCCGAGTCCCGATACGAGGGGTCCTTCGGCCTTGTTTGTAGTCGCGTCGAACCATGCTTCCCTGTTGTTCCCTTACTGGGGAATCGGAAAAAACTTTGCCCCCCTTTTTTTCCCCTTCACAACTATAATAATCCTAGGAGGACAAAAACAGTGATTTCTTTCTTTGCTCATCACTCTCCCCCAAATTCAGTTTCTTTCATTTTCTACAACTCATTTCTTCTACAATATGATTACGAAGCAGGCAAAAAAATATTGCAAGAAGAAGGTGCTTAGCTGTGACAGAGCATTGTGCAATTCCGAACTTCAGCACCAATGCTTAAAACATTCAAGTTCAAAATGAGGTAAATGAGAATTCAATGCTGAAGGAAGTATTCCTACACTGTCTATATGTTTGGCAGTGCAAAGATCTTCTACACAATCAGTGAAGTCAGTTCAACTAATTATAATAAGTCATTTACTACTTTTATCAGGTTACTGATTAATATTTATCATTGAGATCTACTTGTAAGCTAAGTTGCTCCGACACGACAGTTTAGGTGCCGCAGCCATATCGATACAATATTAGTATGGGTGTAGGTAAGGGATCCGTACCGGATCTGGTTAAATAATTTTGGATACTTTGAACACGACGGATGGAAAATTTTGAGACAATATACAATTTGATTCTTGAAATCAGAACCAAAACTAGGGTAAATTTGAAGAAAATAACATTCCCTTATCTAGGAAATCAATCTTTTACTTATCTAAAACTTGAAAATAAAAAAATAAGTCCACAATTTATAATCTATACATAAGTATTCCACAAAATTTCTTATAATTTAGAGATATTTTATATTTTTATTTTTTTAAATTATTTTTAGCCGGATCCCCGCACTCGTATCCGTACTAGGATCCATATCCCTGAATCTTAGAATTTACATCTCGAAGGATCTGACTTCTAGATTCGCACCCGTGTCGGACACCCGCATCCATGTCCGAGCAACTTAGCTTGTAAGTACATTATAAAAAACCTGATTACGTAAATTTTTAAATTTTTGCACTTTACCCCATCAAAGCTGTAATGATGTTTCAACAAGGCGAAAAATAATCAAAAATCAACTTCAGAACTCCAATTTCAGGAGGCCAAGAAAGAGAAATTTACAGCATAATCCTTTTCTTCAGAAACATATTATCAGAAAGAGGGTCCATAATCGATTATGCTATCCCTAATCGAGAAAACTCTGAAGCCAAAGCGAAAATATATTGTCGTTTGAGATGCAAAAGGATCAGTACATGCATTAAATTACTAGTACTATGAAACATTTGAGTCTCTTGGTCATTCAACCTAAAAGAACTTGTTTCTAAACAAGAATATTTCATCATATTTTCACTGTTTTGAACTAATGTAACCTTTGGTATTTATCTCAACAAATTCTCACCTCACTCCAGAAGACAACTCTTCTATAATCACAAGATAGGATACCATATTTTGGTTGCCTCAAAATTGGTCCCTACCACATGCATATTTCTAGAAAAAATGTGGATTCATATAACTTTTTGCAAACAATGACATGACTTTACAGCATAATGAAAAAGCTTAAATTCAACAATGCATTCATCTAAAGGGCTGTAAATGTCCCTACATGTTCCATAAGTTGCTCAATTCAAAAAGTTTAGACACAATAAGTGGAAAAAGGCAACACACCACTAGTAATTTTCAGTAGACATATATTGATAAAGTATTATCCAGGAAATCTCCATCCCCTTTTTAGTACAAAATGATTGCACAATGTCATATAGTACAATGTACATCCTCAAATATATTGTTCATTACAAATTCTCATTCTTTGGAAATGAAAGTAAATTAAATACATCTTGTTTTTGCAACAAAGGAAAGAACTTAGTTATCTTAAAACCACTTCAAGAAGATCCAAAAATCAAAGAAGGCAGCCTAGTATATTAAGCTTCCGCTATGCGCAGAATTCGGAAAGAGTCAGACCATAAGGGCCTATTGTACACAGTCTTAATTTGCATTTCTGCAAAAAACTGTTTCCACGACTCGAATCCGTGACCTCCTAATCACATGGCAGCAACTTTACCAATTACGCCACGACTGACTCGAGAAGATCCATTACAACAATTAAGCAAAGCAAAGAGAAGAGCATAATACCACTAGGTTTTGGAATTAGACCAGCAGAAACCTCTACCCCTGCATAAAAAACACCAAAATAAGAGCCAACACAATTATTTGACTAGAAAAAAAGGAAGTTTTGAGTGTAAGAACTTCTGATTTATGAGATAAGAGAACTTACTACATTGGGTTACATGGCAAAGACATCTCAATCCAACTCCACAATTACCATAAGGCTTTCTACACTCATCACAAGGATTTGGTACATGGTCAATATCCCAAGATATCCTTGTCCCTAACTCAAGTTTCTCACTTTTCCCATCTTGAGAATTGCTTTTATAAACTCTTCTATAATGTGAACAGTTCAAATCTTTAGGATGAAACTCATTTCCCAAATCTTGAACATCATCAACCATCAAACAAGAAGATGACCTTTGTGTTATTAGACCTTCTTTACACAACTTTAAAGAAGAATCTTTCTCATTTTTCAAGTAAGGACAATTTTGAAAAGTTGATGTATTTCCCTTAGGATTTAAGCAGTTGAATAGGAGTAATGAGTTAGGCTTAGGGGGAGGAGGAAATCCAAAAGATAAATCTTTTGGAGATACATAATGAGATGAAGTAGAACAAGAACTATGAGAAAGAGTAAGCACTTTATTTTTGTAATCAATTGAAGAAACTTGGAATAGGCCAAGAGAAGTTCTATAGTATAAAATCTCTGATCTACAATAGACCATATTTTTCAAGAAAGATGAATCTGTTGAGTTTTGAGAAACAAAGGGCTCTTCAATTCTAATATTACCACAGTAGTTTTTTGCTGCTTGTGCTTCTTGAGACATGTAAAAGTTCAAAGAAAGGAAAAAGACTATAAAATGAACTTTCTTGATCAAGATTTCCATGTTTTCCTTACTTTCTTTTCTTACTCTGAAAAGACTATTGTACTGCAGCTTCAAAAATGGAGTTTTTGACAATGAGAATATGCAAAATAGATGAAAGGCTGTAAAAGGAGGAATCAAAGAATCTAACTTTTCCTCTTTGCTGGAAAAAAATTCTACCTTTTGTTACTGTGATATTCTTTGAGCTAAACAAAATTCTGGAATAAAATATTATCACCTTTTTATCTGAAATGCTTTGTTGACCTTAAAACCTGCCCATGGTAATACTTCCTTTTCACAACAAAAATTTTCACCCTTTTCCTTTCCACATCTAAATTTGGACATAGATTTCTTCTCTTTTTCTAAAACATGATTTTTTGGATGGATATTTTCTGATTAATGATGTTTCCGTTGCCTTGTTACCTTATTGTTATTATTGTTTGTTAATTATGTCATTTTTAATGTTTTTGAGTTGGGTCTATCGAAAATAATTTCTCTACCTTTATAAGATAGGAGTAAGGTATGCATACACATTATAGTTAAAAATTTTGTGGGATTTCACTTGTGTTGTTGTATTTTCTGATTAGTGATAATAGAAGCAACATATGGCAGACAAACTTTGGTATAATGGGGTCAGTATGATATATTAGAAGATAAATTTTAGCATGTAGATAGCTAGCATAGGTAATGAAAAGTCAAAAGTTAAATTTGTTCTCTAGTTCAGTGATTATTTTATAATCATTATTAGTCACAAGATATTGAAAAAGACTCATGAAAGGATATCAGATATTGCTAGATACTTCATAGTACAGACTACAGAATACATGTCTTAACCCATCCACAATACAAACACTTGATCCTCAAATAGCCCCAAAACATCCTAAAAAATCAAACCATATTGAATCAAAATCATAATGCTAGTTTGTTGTGTCATTGATCCGAGGAGCTTGAAAGTAATAGTAGGGAAATCCAATACCACAGCCTTGTCAATTACAGTGGCGAAAGTAGCCGAAAATTCGACATAAATTAGATGACTAACATAAGTTTTAGAGTAATGTTATTATGAAAGCATGAGTGTAAGCATCTAATGGCTTTCAGTATCTTTTCCCCTGCCATTTTAATTTTACTACATTAAAATGTGTGATTATATCCGTTTGTCCATAAAAATAATTCTCTTTCTCAAAAACAAATTTCAAAAATGTGTTTGTCCATGAAATTTTGTAATTTTTTGAGAATTTTTCGAAAATGCGTTTTTCAAAATATTCAGGAAAACTTTTTTTCTCACTTACAATATTGCAACTAGGGGTGTTCATGGTTCAGTTTAGATCGATTTTTCCCTAAAAAGAAACCAAATCAAGTAAGCCATTTTTTTAAATATTTGAACCAAACCAAAATAATTAAGTCATTTTTTTATCGATTTGGTTTATGTCGATTTTTCGGTTTCGATTATTTATCATTTTTTTTAAATATGAGACATACACTATCAAACACATATTCCGTCGACTATATTTTTAACATAACACTATCAAACTAATTGCTCTTTGAGAATGTATCATTTCCCAAGATATATTAATAATAATTGAATCAAATATTGATGAATAATTTAAAGACTCAAGTAAAAATAGATTATTTTTATCATGAAGTAGATTATTGTACTTAGCAAAAGAAAACTATCAATCAAACTAGAATGTAAAGAAAAAGAACTAGGTTATTATAATAGCAAAGAATTAGACTAAAAATGCAAACTATTAACATATACCATAAAATTTTAGAATGTATATAGGTGTAATAATAAATTTTAAATATGTAATTCTATAGTCGATTTGGTTCGATTTTTTCCTGTTATTTTTTTATTAAAATCAAAATCAAACCAAATTTGATCGGTTTTTAAAATTCAAAACCAAAATCTAACCAAATAAAACCAAAAAATGTGTCGATTTTTTTGGCCAGTTTGGGTTGGTTTTCGACTTGGTTCGCTTTTCGGATTTTTATGAACACCCCTAACTACAATATTTTTTCAAATGAAATGCATATTCAAGCATAAGTTCAAATTGCAAATACTATTTTGTAACTCAACCCCAAATACTATTTTTTTCAAAAATTATAATTCTTATGTCGAAACGCTTACTAAAATGACCTATTGAGAAAATGTATTCAATGACTTACCAAACAAAGGAACTTGACAGTATCCATTTCTAAAGTAAGCTTTTCCAACTATTTAAAAATGTCCTCGACCACCACATCTTCCTTGAACTTCACCAAGATCAAATCCTTGAATTCATCAGCTATGGCTGCTAGTTATTGGTAAACCAATGAAACAAAAATGGCCTCCCAAAGCCGCCTATACATAAACGGTAAAAACTTAAGAGTTTTGGTATTGAATCCATTATATTTTTAAAGTTATGAGTTCATATTTACTATTTATTGTAATTTTAATAAATTTTTACCTATAAATTTATATTTTGCGTCGAAAGTATTAAATTCAGATGAACCCGATATTACAGTATAATTTATTATGGTTAAGTCATGAGAATGTGTACTAATTAATTTTGATTTAGTAATAAGATTGTTTATGAATACTTCTATGTATTCAGACTAACATTGCACATGCAGTTGTCAGTTGAGATGTCCTTGAGGTGTACTTGTGTTTTGTTTTAAGATACAGGATAATCTAGGTAAGTGTTTAGCTAAGTACTTAGCGGGCGTTTGGACATAAGAATTGTGAAATTCCAAAATAAGTAAAAAAAATTCAAGTGAAATGGTATTTAAAAAGTAGAAGTTGTATTTGGACGTAAATACATTTTGGAGCTATTTTTGAAATCTTTATGAATGATTTGAAATGAAAATTTAGAAAAATAATTTTTTGGAGTTTTTTAAATTTTTAAAAAATTCATAAATTCATCTTCAAGTAAAATTTAAAATTTTCATGGACAAATACTCCGCAAAAAGTAAAAAGATTTCGAAAAAAGTAAATTTTATTTTATGGCCAACCAGGCCCTTAATCTTTTTGGCCAATTAGTCACTTGATAAGACATGATATGTTTTCACAGGTATTTGTCATTTCTCACACTTATATTTTATGGCGGTTCTATTATTACTGAAAATTTCTGAATGCACCTTTCAGTGTCGATGTAGCACAGAAAGTATGGTTATTCTCTTGGAGGCATATGAGATGCAAAAAGTAAGATAAAGTTAACTAATATGCACAAGTGTCATTTTTTAATTGGAAACTAAATAGTTAAGTAGAGTTCGAAATAACCAAAGGGCAAAATACAAGTGTATAACTGCAAATCCAAGACAAATCTTATTAAGGAGTATTTATGTATTTTCCCGAATATATAATGAACATAGTGAAATATCAATGCCAATAAAAAGCTTAAAAATCTCAAATGCCAACACATTTTAATAAAAATTTAATTTATGGGTTCAATAATATACAACATTATTGTTTTTAGTTGTTTAATGTTTGATATGCGGTTTGCAACTCGCGGATCTTCCGTTTTTTGTTTATTCATTCTGTTTCCCAAAACTCACTAGCCGGATTAAGTTAGATTTGGGCCAAGCAGTGCCGGAGCCACATGTATTAGTGACACTCCTTAGTCAAAAAATTACACCGTATAGTTTGTTTTTTTTTAATTTTATATATACTACTTCCTCCATTTCAAAAAAATTATTTTTGTTTGAATTGGCACAAAATTTAATAAAGAAGAGAAGACTTTTGAGATATGTGATCTTAAATAAGTCATAGCATTTGTGTGATTGTAAAACTTTTGAAATCTGTGGTATGAAGCCCGTCATATCATTTGTGTGACTATAAATGCTTCTTATTAAGAAAATAAGGAAATAGTGTCAATGTTTTTGAAAAAGGAGTACATATTGGCATCCCTTGGCTTCGTCGTAGGTTTACTTCTTTATATTTTGACCCTATTAGTAAAAATCATGGCTCCGTCACTAACACCAAATAGGCCCATATAAGTGGGTAAAACACTCCTTGTTGATACTTCATAATGATATGTTAGAAGATGTCTTAACCATCCACAACTTTGGGAAGTATGTATTAAGCCTTTATTGCAAGATACTTCATAGACGTGATAGATTACATGTCTTAACCATCCACAATTTGGGAAGCAAAGATAATAGATTGTTCACATTGCACACACTAGAACAGTTGAACTTCAAACAGCCAAATAACATCCTAAACAAATCAAACCATATTGAAACATAGATGCACACATACAACTAGCTTTTTTTATTTTTTTGTGACAATGATCATATGGTCAAGCTGGAGCAGGAGCTTTAACAGAAATAGCAGGGAAATCCAGTAGCACAGCCTTGTCAATTACAGTGGAGAAAGTAGCAGAAAATTCCACATGATTTGGGTGACTAACAAATGTAGTATAGTCATCTTTGTTACTGAATGTCATCAAGAAAGCATGAGTGAAACCTTGTCTTAGCATCTCGTGGCTTTCAGCATCTTTTCCCCTGCCACAAGTTGTAGAAACCATTTTAATTTACAATCATCACAACAATGTGCAAGTAAAAGAGCAGCTCGGTATACTAAGCTTCCGTTGTGCACGGAGTCCGAAAAAGAGTCAGACCAAGATCACATTTGATCTTATGTATGCAACATTATCTTGCATTTATGCACGAGGGACTTGAACCTGTGACCTCCCGGTCATACGACGACAACTTTTACCGTTGCGCCAAGACTTACCTTCTATGTATCAGCTATGTTGCTCCAACTCTCCTTAAATATTTCCAGTTGCATATCGAATCCTCCTAAAGTAGTGTATTTTTGAAGAATCCGACACGAGTGCGGTAATATTTTGAAGAGTCCGTGCAACATAATGTATCAGTATATATAAAAATGACCATAAAAAATGTATTCAATGACTTACCAAACAAAAGACTTGACAATATCCATTTCTTGAACAAGCTTTTCCAATCCTTTTAGAATGTCCTCCACCACCACATCTTCCTTGAACTTCACCAAAACCAAATGCTTGAATTCATCAGCCATGGCTAGTTAATTAGTAAACCAATGAAGCAAAATGGTTCACCAAAAGACACCTATATATACACCCAACATTCCTTTTCTGTCAACTTCAACAGTCTGTCACCACTCATGCAGGGGCAAGTGTAGCTTATAGGTATCGAGTTCATTTAAATTCAGTACCTTTGATGCAGAGTATAAATCTATATGTAAAAATTACTAAAATTAAAGTAAATATCATATGCGAACCCGTATCTTTAAAAATATAATAGATTTAAGACTAAGAATCTTAAAAGTTGAACTCATAAAACTTAAATCTTATATTTTTATGTACACTCATGACATACACATTTTTTTGTACCATGAAGTCAAGTCTCTCATTTACAAGACAATATCTGCAAAACAATATATGGAAAAAGGTACATTAGCTGCATGGGACAATAGTCCAACTAACCTGTAATTTTCATGTCTTCACCCTAATTGTCCTAACCTTTGCTTTTCAAAAAGAAGTGGGGTCACTCTGAACCATTTTTCTTGGAATTTGAGGACTGGTTTTCAAAATGCAACATCATAGTGAGAAACAACTGCTATTATTATTTCTCAGGCGTTTGGACATAAAAATTGTATTATAATTTTTAAAAAAAAGTAGTATTTGAAATTCAGTTGAAAAATGATTTTTAAAATTTAAAATTATATTTGGAGATGCGTTTCACTTGAAAAAATATTTCAGTTTTGTGGGTGGAGAAAAAAAATTCTGAAAATTTTGTTGAAAAATTCATTTTCGAAAAAAATTTTAAAACTTGTAAAATTTCATGAACAAACATATTTTTTAAAAAGAAAATTGAAAAAAAGAAAAAAAATTATGGACAAACGGACCTAAAGTGAAAGCTATTCTCTTTTCATTTAGTCCTCATTTTTTCTTTTGCTTTAAGTTGAGCATGCCATGTTCATTTACTGGACTTTTCTCTATGGCCCTTCTTTGAGCTATCTAATTTATGATTGAGTTTTGATATGGAAATCATTGACATAACATCACTTAATTTAAGGAATATGACCTGAGGCTTTTCTTTCAAATAATTGGTATGTTGTTGAATTATTAAAAGGTTATACACTATAGAGATTTTCCATGTTCTTTATTATGCTCGAAATTAGATTTTCAGTATCATATGCTTGTATTCCAGTATGTTACAGTAATGTTAGTACAAGAAAGCGAACAATTGACCGTATATTAAAAATAAATCTTCATCTATTTAGAACCCTTGATTTGGCAGTAGTCTATAGAAAAAACCCTTGATATTTTAAGGGGTATTATCATTATTAGCCCGCGTCAAACTAAGTGATTATTGCATTAAAGTCATAAACCAATTCAGTAACCAAATAATGCATCAATTATCTCTATGTTTAGCATAAAATGAAAACCATCAAAGAACAATTCAATTCGAGATTTTTACATGGCTGAGCATTTTTTAAAAATTATTTAACAAAATGATATTAATTTTAGTTTATTCCATAAATAGCAAAAAAAATTTACAATCTTAGAATACTGTAAAGATTATGCCACAATTAATGAATGCACAAATTAAGGAATGCCACTAAATAAGAAATTTAATATAACTGGCTTTTCTGTATCTCACGTTAGGTTTGGGTGGTGGGATTATTTTTTAATCTACATAAATTCTTTTCAAATCTTACCTAATAATTTTGTTATTCCAATTTTTTTCTGCCTTCACGCTACTTCTTCTTTGTATATACATACATTTATATTTATAATTTATACATTACCGCATATATGACTTGTAAGCACATATATAAAAAAAATGTATCATTTATGTATTTTGGGTATAATCTAAATATAATTTATGTATATTCGACATGAAATATTTTTTGGACTTCTCCATGTCTTTGCAAACATAATAAAATATAATATATATTTCATAATGATATACACAGTGTATATATTTCAATGTAATTATTTTTTAAAAATACGTGGTATATTCAACGTTGTAGTATTGTTTTAACTGTTATCCTCAATATATATAAGAGTAATATTTGATATTATTTTATAATTGTTTGATTTCATATGTATATTATTATACATTATATATTCTAGATTTATTAGTTTCATATTTTATAAATGATACAAAATGAAAGAAAATATATAAGGAGAATATTTTATAGCAAGAAAAAAGAAGAGATTATTTGGATAGTTACAAACGTGATTCTCGGTCCACCAACAAATTTATAACATGTTAAAACAGAATGTGTAATATCCTAATTTGAATTATAAAAGAAAAAATTATAGGCCATTATGTTTCATTTTCTTTAGAAAATAATTAAACAGATCCTTAAATTTAGGTGTATGATTCATTGCCTTTGTTTGAGAAGGAATCTTTGGGGATTTAATTATGGGCGTAAAAATAGGAATAATATGTTAGGGTTGATTATTATCTAGCTTGATTTTAGGAATTTTTATTGAATCTGCTATGCTATGTTAATATTCAGGTGTCGACAATTAACTATGCGGCTACAGATATGCAAATTTTCTTTAAATATTGTCTAGTTATGTTTTTTGCCCCATAAATTCAAACCGGCGCCAACAATTGTCACATACGATAAAAGTGAAAAGCGCTTGTTATTTTTGAAGGAGCAAATCCCAAAAGATATTCGACATGCTCTATGGACTAAGGTTCATCAATACTGGATTACGGAAATGTAACAAAAAAGATACTATTTATCAATAATTAGCCATTTTAATCATGCTATTAAAAATAATTCAAAAAATTATTAATGATATACAATATTCAAAAAACATAGGCAAATCAATTTTTTTTTAATGGGTATTGTTTTGATTAGTTGAAAACACATAAATGAGGTAATATACCAAATTTGAGAAAGTTTGAAGATGAATTAGACTAGTTTGGAGTCAAAATTGATTACCAATGATATCAATATTTAAAAAAACAATTAGGCAAAATTAGGCAAAAAGAATTTTATTTCAATGGGTACGGTTGGAATTCATTGAAAACATATAGATGGGGCAATATATAAAATTTGAGCAAGATTGGAGGTGATTTGGACTGCTTTGGTATCAAAATTCGTAGTTAAAATCGAGTTTTAATAAATTCTTCTACAGTACATGTATAAACATGTATCATGCATATATATTACACATATGTATACATGGATATATATGTGATATAAATATCATACATATGTGATACACATATCATCTTTTTCTATATTCATCTTCTACTTCGAATTTTCAATTCAAACAACCTCAAAGCTCTACCAAATCATCCCAAAACGGAGATTCAAATTCCTTAAGATGTACCTAATCCATTCCAACAATACCCACTCAGAAGAAAATAAAAACTTGATCTTTTTTTGCTACAAATAGCTAATTGGCTAATATGGTAATATTTTACTAACATTGGTAATATTTTATAAATTGACTAATTTTTATATTTATTTGCTTATGGGCGGATGTAACTGATAATTTCCCCTAGAAAAATCCCTAAGGACCAATTTTCTCACTAAGGAACGAAAAGTTGGAAATAAAATCCATCTGAAGAAAAATTGAAATTCTTGCTTTTTCAAAACGGAATCGGGCCAAAAATGCTCCTCAACTATTGAAAATTGAGCAAATATACCCCCGTTTGCTATTGGGTACAAAAATACCATCACCGTTAATCGAGTAGAGTATATATACCTTTTTCCACTAACAGACTCCGCATCAGTTATAAATTCACGTTAAAAAGATTTTTTTTGCTGAGTTGGAGCTCCACATCATATTTGTTTTTTTTATCCAAGAAAATTAATTACATCCAAGTTACCCATGTCTTTTTCCATTTTCCACAATCAACGGTTAAAATGTCGCAATCAACGAATCCTATCAAAGATCGATTGTATAATCAATTATGCTCTTCATTGTTCCTATTTTTGCTTTGTTTCACTATTAACTCATCAAACTTCCATAAACACCGTCGAAATAGCCATTCCAGAGTTCAACTTCATTTTATTATTACATGATCACCTGGAGAGATTAACATAGAAAGAGAGAGATTAATTGGTGTTAGAGACTTAATTCGATTCTTTTTTACATTTATTTTGTTTAATCCTTCTGCATTTCTCTCCATTTTTTTGCTGTCGTTCTTCACAAACCTTAATTTTCAAGTCTCTATATCATCTTTTCCCGTTTTGAAATCATTTGCAGAGGTTCAGATCTAGACTTGGATTTTTCTATACAGGTTCTTTCGGGGTTTTTCTATACATATTTTTGAAAGAAAAAAAAGGCATATCAGGAAAAAATGGACTACTGGAGGAGTTTCCGATGAAGTCCGATGGGGCTCGCAGGTTAAGTTTTTTGGGATAAAAGTCCGCTACATAAGGGGGGTGATGATTGATGAAGAATTGAGAAAAGTGGTGAGGGGTGGAGGCAAGATGTTCCTGATATTGGAGAATTAAGAAATTATATGGAGGGTACTGTTTTCCAAGTAGGAGCTCCAAATCAGCAAAGAAAATACTTCTGAAAGTGAATCTATAGCTGATGTCGAGTCTGTTAGTGGAAAATGGTATATGTACTAACGGTAAGGGTATTTTTGTGCCCAATAGCAAACGGAGGGCATATTTGCTCCATTTTCACTAGTTCAGTGGCATTTTTGGCCCTTTTCCGTTTTCAAATTTTGATATTTATTTTACAGAAAAAGGTCAAAATTACTCATATCAATTGTTAAATAGTTTAAAATTATTCTTCGTCCATCTTTTGGTCCAAAAATTACCCCATCGTAATTTTTATTGCTAAAATTGCCCCTCAATTTAATAGCAAAAGTTGCGGGCTATGATTTTAATGTATTGGCATCTTTTTACTCGGCCATGTGGCTCTTTTGGTCATCAAATATGGATAATATTAACCATTCTATTATCCGACCCGCCCCATATCTTTTATTATCATGGTTAAAAATATGGCTCGAGCATTTATAGACAGAAAAGCTATTCTACCCAAAACAAAAATCAGCATTACTTAGGAGTTAGGTGAAATAAGTTCTTTGAAAATGAATTTTAAATCATTTATTGGCGGTGGTAAAAATCCAAA